CTGAGGATCACAGTTCAAAGCCAGCCCAGGCAGGAAAGTCCATGAGAGTCTTATCTCCAATAAACCCTAGAAAACTGGAAGTGGCGCTGTGGCTCAAGCGGTAGAGCACTCACCTTAAGTTGAAGAGTACAGGGACAGCGCCCAAGCCCAGAGTTCAAGCCCCACCACTGACCAAAAAATAAAAATAAAATACCCCCAGGCGTGATCAATTACACAGGACAATAGGCATTCACATACAGTGAGATCAAAGTAGGATACTCTTAGAGGAGGAATACAAAGGTGCAATGTCTGTGTGCATCTGATCACATAAAATAATCTTTCTCAAAATGAACTCCAGGAAATAGAAACAAGGGTTTTGTTGTTGTTGTTGGTTTTGTTTTGTTTTGTTTGGTTGGTCGTGGGGCTTCAACTCTCAACCTGGGTGCTGTCCCAGAGCTCTTTTGCTCAAGACTAGCACTCCACACTACTGATTTTCTGGTAATTAATTGGAAATGAGAAACTCATGGACTTTGCTGCCTAGGCTGACCTAGAATCACGATCCTCAGATCTCAGTCTTTAGAGTAGCTAGGACTAGAGGTGTGGGCCTTGTTTTTGTTTTCTTTTCTTTTTGTCTTGTTTGTCCGTTTGTTTATCTATCTTTGGGAGGGTGGGAGCGGGGCACAGAAATGGAGGATCAAAGGGTAAACAAATGCAGCAGTGGTACTCACTAGACACTAATGTTGAAAATAAACTATACAACTTGTATATAGAGATGGAAAATCCGGGTGTCAATGGCTTATGCCTGTAATCCTAGCTACTTAGGAGGCTGAGATCTGAGGACTGTGGTTCAAAGCCAGCCGGAGCAGAAAGTCCATGAGACTTATCTCCAACAAGCCACTCAGAAAATCGGAAGTGGGGGCTGGGAAGGTAGCTCAGCAGTAGAGTGCATGCCTTGCAAGCACGAGGCCCTGGGTTCAATTCCTCAGCACCACATAAACAGAAAAAGCCGGAATTGGCGCTGTGGCTCCAGTGGTAGAGCGCTAGCCTTGAGCTGAAGAGCTGAGGGACAGCACCCAGGCCCAGAGTTCAGGCCCCATGACTAGCAAAAAAAAAAAAAGAAAAAGAAAATCGGAAGTGGTGCTGTGGCTCAAGTGGTAGAATGCTCCTTGAGCTGAAGAGTGGAGGGATAGAACCCAGGGCCCACGACCAACCAAAAACAAACAAACAACAGAAATGGGAGGGAAAAACTGGGAGACGGTAAGGGAAGGGATGATACTGTTCCCCCCGTCCCCCAAAAATGCTCATGCTGGGTGCTGGTGGCTCACTCATGCCTGTCATCCTAGCTACTCAGGAGGCTGAGATCTGAGGATCGCAGTTTGACAACAGCCTGGACAGGAAAGTTCATGAGACTCTTATCTCCAATTAACCGCCTGAAAACCAGAAGTGGTGCTGTGGCTCAAAGTGGTAAACTACTACTAGCCTTGAGTGTAAAAGGTCAGGAACAGTGCGCAGGCCCTGAGTTCAAGCCCCACAACCAACAGAAAAAGAAAAAAGAAATGTACTCATTACCTGACTTATGTAACTATAACCCTTCTGTACCTGAAAAATAACTTGGCGCAAAAACGGCTGGAGGTATGGCTCAAGTGGTAGAGTAACTGCCTAGCAAGTATAAGGCTCTGAGTTCAAACTCTAATACTGTCACACACCAAAAAATTATAAGGCCAGGTGTGGTGATTTACATCTGCAGTCATCTATATCATGAGAGATCACTGTGTGATTTCAGCATGTAACTTGGAAGGTGTCAAGGGAACTGGGATGATCATATTCCTTGGTCTAGCAAGCTAATATTGCCAATGGGTATTAAACTTTTAAGCCTAGTCATCTGCAAAGAAAAAAACATTTAGTTTATACGCCCATGGCACATTTATGGATTCTAACCAGTCCACATATTCTAAGAGTAAAATGTTTTTGCTTCTCAATAGAGGTAGGTTTACAAAGTATTTGGTGAAGAATTTGCAGTCATACTGTGTAACAACATCCTCAGTTGGAAAGTCTACCTCCTGTCAATAAGCCAATAAGCAACAAAAATCCTGTACTCAACCAGGGTACTCAGGGTAGACAGTAATTGGACAGGATCCTTAAATGAAGAGGCTACTAGATTTTTGGAGCCAAGGAAAGAATTCACATTAGCTTGTGTGGAGGAGTTATGTACCTAAGATATATAACCTTAAGCCAGTGCCAGTAGCTCATACTTGTAATCCTATGTACTTGGGAGGCTGAGATCTGGAGAATTGAGAGTTGAAGCCAGCCAGAAAAGTCTGCAAGACTCCATCTTCAATTAATGATCAAAAAGCAAGCCGGGCGCCGGTGGCTCACGCCTGTAATCCTAGCTACTCAGGAGGCTGAGATCTGAGGATCGAGGTTCAAAGCCAGCCCGGGCAGGAAAGTTCGTGAGACTCTTATCTCCAATAACCTCCCCCCCCCCCCCCCCCGCCCCCGCTAGAGAACTGGAAGTGGTGCTGTGGCTCAAGCTGTAGAGCGCTTGCCTTGAGCTGAAGAGCACAAGGACAATTCCCAAGCCCAGAGTTCAAGCCCCACGACCGACCAAAAAAAAAAAAAAGCAGGGCTGGAGGCATAGCTCAAGTGGTAGAGCACTGGCCATGAGCAAAAAAGGTGAGTGAGAGCTCAAGGCTGGAGTTGAAGCCTCCCTGCCATACCCTCACCCCCTCTTTCCTTTCTTACCCATAGGCTTCAGGCTTCACCACTTCTAACTTTTCTCTTCCTCCCCCTGTGGCCCTCCTTTCTCCTCTTCTCTTTCAGAGAAGGTCTTTCCTTGTAGATCAGTCTGGCCTGACCTCATTATGCAGCCCAGGCTGGCTTCAAATTCTCATCTGCCTACATCCTCTTCCAGAATGCTAGGAGTACAGGTGTGAGACACCATGCCTGGATTCTCTTTCCTATTTTCTTTTTTTTTTTGGTCGGTCGTGGGGCTTGAACTCTGGGCCTGGGCGCTGTCCCTCAGCTCTTCAGCTCAAGGCGAGCACTCTACCACTTGAGCTACAGCGCCACTTCCGGTTTTCTGGTAGTTAATTGGAGATAGGAGTCTCACAGTCTCTCCTGCCCGGGCTGGCTTTGAACCGCGATCCTCAGATCTCAGCCTCCTGAGTAGCTAGGATTACAGGCGTGAGCCACCAGCGCCCAGCTTCTTTCCTATTTTCTTATTTTCCACTATTTTCTATTCTATTTCTTCTAATTCTCCAAGATATTTTTCTTAAACAACTGAAGATTATGAAAGAAGAGCCTATTAGGAAGCTTCCTGGGTCAAACTGGAATCAATACAGCCTTTGACATCTCTTATTTTCTCTTCTTATCCTCAAATTCTGTACACTTTTTCTACTGATACATCTCCCTGTTGCTAATCTTTCCTAACTATATCCCTGGAACACTCAGTAGTAAAAGACAGTTGACTAATATTTGTCCTCAAAGAGTTGTGTAAGCAAGATTAAAGCTCATATATAAATACCTTCTACACTGTCTTTGTGACACAACACTTTACAATTCTGGACTGCCTTTCAACCGTTGTTTTGGTGTTATCTCCAGCAGTACTGTGATGGTTAATTTTGTGTATTTGGCTGGTGAAGACATTACTCTAGATGTTTCCATTAAGGTCATTATTTACATGGGATTAACATTTAAACTCCTGGGGGAAAAAAAGAGATTACTCTCTATAATATGGGTGGGCTTTACCTGATCAGTGGACAGCCGTAACAAAGACCTCTTTCAAGTAAGAAATTCTACCATCATTTGGATCGATCTCTCTCACTCGTGCTCTCTCTCCCATACCCCGCAAAAGCAGAGAAAATGGGTGAAGGAAATAGGTAATTGTAAAAAAGCCAGATACAGGCCTTATGAATAACTTCCTTAAAACCCATTTACTAGTCCTCTATTATAGAAGCTGGAAGGCTAAAATGAGGTTTAATTTTCTCAAAACCACTCAATAGTTCTGACACAGTTAGCTTGATGCAGAAGAATTCCTTCCCAAATACAGGCCAAAGTCTTACTAGAATAAAGCACTAAGCTCTAAGCCTTTCCTCATACCTGGAGCATGATAGGTTCAGGTGTTAAAAGAGTACATGAGAAGGCTGGTCTTCGGCTGTGCTAGGCTTCCACCTTGCCCCAAGCACTCCACTCCTTATATCGTATCCCAACTAAAAGTGCAAGTAGAATTGGACTTCGTAGGCCCATGTGTATTCTGACCTTTGTGAAAGCTGAGACTCTATTAAAGAGAGAACTTTTAAGAACCCAGCTGTAAGCTGTCTGCACAGATTGGAAACTGTAATGGGAGGGAGGAGTTGTACTAAAAAAAAAATTCCTGAAAGTAATGATAGTGAAGCATTAGCAATCATAACCATGAACCATTAAGGAAAATATCTTTTTAAAAGCTCTATGAAGGGGCTGGGAAGTTGGCTCAGTGGTAGAGTGCTTGCCTTGCATGCACGAGGCCCTGGGTTCGATTCCTCAGCACCACATAAGCAGAAAAAGCCGGAAGTGGGCCTGAGGAGAGCGCTAGTCTACAGCTGAAGAGCTCAGGGACAGCGCCCAGGCCGAGTTCAGGCCCCATGACCGACCAAAAAAAAAAAAAAAAAAAAAGCTCTATGAAAATATGGCATTAAGTACTTTATGATATTCCACCTCCAAGACAGGAGGAATTAGGATAGAGCATTGCTTTAGTCACATGCACTGTAATATACTAGGTGGATTTAAATTTTTTACCCTTAGGCTTCTGACATTAGAGAACTATAATGTTCTATAAAGTCATCATGTAATAAAACCTCACTAATGAGGGATCAAGAAAAGAACTTACTGGCTAAGTTGGTAAAAAATGTGAAGTAAACCATCGAAACAACCCAGTAAATTTTTAAGTCAACAGTATCCTGTCTTTCAAGGCTACCAATGACATAGCTCTACAACCAAGAAAACCTAATGTAATCAAACAAGAGCCTTCAAACGCTCAGACTTACCTTTCTTTTCTCCTGTGTAGGGCACATAGTCTTCCCGGTCCTTCTGCTCCAGGGCTTCCTTCTCCAGATATGAAAGCAGGTGTTCTCGATCAAATGGCCCTGTGGCTGATTTTGATGTCTGGTTCTTCTGGCGGAAACCCGCAGGCAGGAGGGCATTCTGCCAAGAGAGTGAGCCAGCCATTAGGAACACCAAGCATGCCAGTCCTGGTGTTTCCCGAGATTTCCCATACAAGAAAATCGTATTCAAGACTAAACACTTCACTGTAGGATTTTAGCACAGTAATGCAAACATGCTCCAAAAAAGGAGTCTTTAAAAAAACAGAGGGCTGGGAAGGTAGCTCAGTGGTAGAG